ATGCTTAGGTCGTTTTTTTTTTTTGTCGACCTCGAGTGATGATGCGACGGCAATTAAGAAAGGAAGGAAAAATGATGATAAGATAGGAATAACTAGCACGGGAGAAACGGTAAAGAGAGATTTGATAATGTTGTGGTGACGTAGACACATTGCAACAACGACGACAACAATTGACCAACGGACACAGCAATGACAGAAACAACGACACAACAACAACAACAACACAGCCACAACAACAACAACAACCACAACAACACACAACCCACAACGACAACCACAAAGGCGGATCGTCAAGTAGAATACGAGAGACGGAGAAGAGTTCACAATCTTCAACGCTACCATACAACAACACAACAACGGACACACAACAACAAACAACACATACAACAACATCAAACAAACAACCACAACCACAACACACAACAACCAACCAGAACAACAACACAAAACTGACAACGACACCACAAACAACCAACAACCATACAACAACAACCACAAGACAACGTACCAACAACCACAACAACACAACAACAACACAACAACAACAACAACAACAACAACAACCACAACAGACCACAACGACAACACCACAACAAACAAACAACATCAACAAACAAACACAGCAACGAACAACAACTCACAAACAACAACACAAACAAAGACATCACAAACAACAAACAAGCCGCACGTACCAACAAGAGCCGACAACCACAACCTGACAACAACAACAACCACAACAACAACAACGACAACACACAACGACATACCACAACCACAACCACAACAACAACAACAACAACGACAATCAACACCACAACAATAACGACAACAAACGACAACCGACAACAACACGAACAACACAACAACCGACCACTCAACCACAACCACACAACACGACAACGGACACAACCACAAACCACAAAACACAGCAACAACACAGAACCCTTCAACCACAACAACAAACATACCAGACGACAACAACAAACAACGACACAACAACCACAACAACCACAATAATCACAACAACGCATAATTCAGTGACGAATTGACAAGGACAGCGGCGATCCAGGTGCCAATTGCCGCGCCTGAGGATGCTGGAGCACACTCAAGGGCCTGGTGGGGGAGAGGGGGATGGGGAGAGGGAGGATGGAAGGAAAGGGGGTTGGGGAAGGGGTGGGGGAAAGGGGGGAGGCAACAGGTGGAGAGTGAGAGGAAGAGGAAGAGGAAGTGACTGGAAGAGAAGAGAGGAGGGTGAAGGGGAGGAGGGGAAAGAGAAAGTGAAAGAAGAGGGAGGGAGGGAGGGAGAAAGAAAGAGGGAGAGGGGAGAGAAAGAGAGAAAGAGATAGAAATAGCAGGAAAGGGAGAAAGAGGAAGAGGAAAGAGGAGAAGGAGAAGAGAGAGAGAGAGAGAAAGAGAAAGGAAGAGGGAGAGATGAGAGAGAGAGAGAAAGGGAGAGGGAGGAGATGAGAGAAAGAAAGAAAAAAAAGAAAGAAAGAGAAAAAGATGGAGGAAGGAACGAGGAACAGGAGGAGAGAGAGAAAAAGGGGGAGAAAGAGGAAGCACCGGATAGGAAAGAGGGAGCCAGAGAAACAAAGGAACAGGAAGAGCGTGCGAAGACGACGGTAGAGCGAGATTAGGAGGAGGAGGAACAGACAGAGAGAGAGAAGAAAGGAGGGCTGACGCAGACGCAGGGCGATAAAGGGACGACGAAGGAAAACAAAGAAGGGGCGGAGAAGAAGACAAGGCACCAGGAGGATTTTCTTAATCGCTTTTCGCGTCTCGTCATCTTCCTTGCGTTTCCTTCCTTCCCTTTCTTCCTTTCTTCGCGCTTCTCCCCCTCTCCCCTCCCCTCCTTACCCACACTTCACCTCACCTCCCCCATCTCTCTCCCACCTCCCCCTCTCCTCCCCTTTCCCCCCCTTCCTTTCTGTTCCTCTCCGCATCATCTCATTTCCTCTCTTCGTCTCTTCCTCTTCGGCGAATCACGCAATCCCCCCCCCCTTCCCCCTTCCCCCCCAGCGCGATTCGTCTTCTTGGTCTGGTTGTGTTTTATTTTTTGTTGCGAATCCGAGGCGTCTGAGCGAGTGTCGGAGAGGGAGGGCGTCGGAGAGGGAGGAGGTGAGCTTTAGGGTGAGGGAGAGGAGAGAGAGGGAGAGGGAGAAAGAGGGTGAGAGAGGGAGAGGGAGAGAGAGGGTGAGTGAGAGGGAGAGGGTTAGGGTGAGCGGAGAGAGAGAAAGGATGGAGAGAGGGTTAGGGTGAGGGTGAATGGAGAGGGTAAGGGTGAGGGTGAGGGAGAGGGTGAGGGAAAGGGTTAGGGTGAGGAGAGAGGAGAGGGTTAGGGAAAGGGTTAGGGTGAGGGAGACGGTTAGGTTGAGAGGGGGGAGGTGAGGAGGAGAGGGGGAAGGGGGTTAGGGTGAGGGAGGAGGGAAGGGAGAGAGGGAGGGAGAGGGAGAGGGAGAGGGGGTGAGGGTTTAGGGTTGAGTAGGAGGGAGAGGGAGGG